AACGTCACTCTGTACAAAATGTATGGCTGAACCTAAGGTTACTCCGTACAAACTGTATGTCTTAACACAACGTCACTCTGTGAAAACTGTATGTCTGAATATAAGGTTGCTCCGTGCAAACTGCATGTCTTCACATAACGTCACTCTGTGCAAACTGTATGCCTGAACATAACGTTACTCCGTACAAATTGTATGTCTGAACACAACGTCTCTCTGTACCAACTGTATGCCCGAAAATAAGGTTTAAAATACAGAGTGACGTTGCGTTCAGACATACAGTTTTTACAGGGTGAGGTTGTGTTCAGACATTCAGTTTGTACAGAGTGCTACGTGTATGGACAAACTGGATGTCTGAACATAAGGTTAGTCCGTACTGTATGTGTCAACACAACGTCACTGTCCAAACTATATGTCTGAACACAAGGTCACTCTGTACAAGCTGTATGTCTGAACATAAGGTTAGTCCGTACTGTATGTGTCAACACAACGTCACTGTGTACAAACTGTATGCCTACACATAATGTCACTCCGTACAAACTGAATGCCTAAACATAATGTCGCTCCGTACAAACTGTATGCCTTAACATAATGTCACTCCGTACAAACTGTAGGCCTAAACATAATGTCGCTCCGTACAAACTGGATGTCTGAACACAACTTCACTCTGTACAAACAAACAGTATGTCTGAACACAAGGTCACTCTGTACAAAATGTATGGCCGAACCTAAGGTTACTCCGTACTGTATGTGTCAACACAACGTCACTGTACAATCTGTATGTCTGAACATGATCTCTCTCCGTACAAACTGTATGCCTACACATAATGTCACTCCGTACAAACTGAATGTCTGAATACAACGTCACTCTGTGCAAACTGTATGCCTGAATACAACGTCTCGCTGTACAAACTGTATGGCTGAATATAAGGTTACTCCGTACAAATTGTATGTCTGAACACAAGGTCACTCTGTACAAGCTGTATGTCTGAACAAAACGTCACTCTGTGCCAACTGTATGTCTGAAGACAACGTCACTCTTTACAAACTGTATGTCCGAACACAACGTCACTCGGTACAAACTGTATGCCTAAGCATAATGTCACTCCGTACAACCTGTATGTCTGAACAAAACGTCACTCTGTGCAAACTGTATGCCTGAACATGACGTTACTCCGTACAATCTGTATGTCTAAACATGATCTCTCTCCGTACAACCGGTATGTCTGAACAGTACGTCACTCTGTACACACTGTATGTCTGAACAAAACGTCAGTCTGTAAAAACTGTACGCCTGAACATAACGTTACTCTGTACAAACTGGATGTCTGAACATAAGGTTTCTCCGTACTGTATGTGTCAACACAACGTCACTGTACAATCTGTATGTCTGAACATACAGTTTGTACAGACTGACGTTGTGTTCAGGCATACAGTTTGCACAGAGTGACGTTGTATTAAGTATGTCTGAACACAATGTCACTCTGTACAAAATGTATGTATGAACACAACGTCACAGTCCAAACTGTATGTCTGAATATAAGGTTACTACGTACAAACTGTATGCCTAAACATGATCCCTCTCCGTACAACCTTTATGTCTGAACACAACGTCTCTCTGTACAAACTGTCTGCCTAAACATGATCCCTCTCCGTACAACCTTTATGTCTGAACACAAGGTCACTCTGTACAAGCTGTATGTCTGAACATACAGTTTGTACAGCGTGCCGTTGTGTTCAGACATTCAGTTTGTACAGAGTGCTACGTGTATGGACAAACTGGATGTCTTAACACAACGTCACTCGGTACAAACTGTATGTCCGAACACAACGTCACTGTGTACAAACTGTATGCCTGAACACAACGTCAGTCTGTACAAACTGTATGCCTAAGCATAATGTCACTCCGTACAACCTGTATGTCTGAACATGCTCTCTCTCCGTACAACCGGTATGTCTGAACACACCGTCACTCTGTACCAACTGTATGCCCGAAAATAAGGTTTAAAATACAGAGTGACGTTGTATTCAGACATTCAGTTTGTACAGTGACATTGTGTTCAGACATAAAGGTTGTACGGAGAGGGATCATGTTTAGGCAGACAGTTTGTACAGAGGGACGTTGTTTTCAGACATACAGTTTTTACGGAGTAACCTTATTTTCGGGCATACAGTTTTTACAGGGTGAGGTTGTGTTCAGACATATAGTTTGGACAGTGACGTTGTGTTCAGACATACAGTTTGTACAGTGACGTTGTGTTCACACATACAGTACGGAGTAACCTTATGTTCAGACATACAGTTTGTACATACACGTAGTGAAGTTATGATTGTGCAGTGTGATAAAGTAAAAATATTACTGTAGATACTTGGTAAAGTAAAACAAATCACTTATGCAGATATTTTACACAATTCATATGGTATTAGTATTATTGTATTTCGTTTGATATATCTGATATCCTTAATCTGCGTATATACTAAACATTTGACTCATCAGTGTATCGAAAAACTTGTTTGATCACACGTATGATATATGTAATCATGTATTATATCGGTATCTTGGAACCGCAATGAATGCATTCCGCTGCTTCGAATAAACAAAACAACAACACGCCGACGACAAATCAAAGTAAACATGTTTTTATATCAGTCAGATGGATGAGAAAATTGCATGAAAAAAAGACAATTGCGTATATATTTCGACATTAAAGGCCACGAGATATATTTAAAAACAATTATGGGACCGTGTTTGGATTGAAAAGACCTGGGGTTAGATCAGTGCACACCTGTACAGGGTACACGTATTGACGGAACACGTGTCCATTTCACGGTAGACACGATACAGTAACACATTGTAAACGTTAAAATAAATAGATAGCCCTCTCTCTAGTGATCCATGTTATACATAGCATAGGGACCTGATCATTTGTCACGGCTATAGTTTGAACCTAAACTAAAGTGTTCCGAGTAACGTCACACGTTTTATGTGTTAAGATCAACTTTTGGTAAAGAAGCCACCCCCAATGATTTCGGATATATCATCATTGGGGGTGGCATTGTTGATCAAAACCCCTTAAATATGTAAAGGTAATCTGAACACCTTAGTTTAGGTAGCTGTAACAAATGCTCAGGTCCCTGTGATACATAGGTATAACATAGGTTACACTGTTGTAACTACTAGTTAACAATATCGAAACAGGAGATTATTGAGAGAAAAGTGTCGTTTTATTTTAAATAAAGTTGGAAGATTTCCAAAAAGCATATCTCAACGTATTTTGAATAATCATAATAAAAAAACAGTATGTAATTGCAAAAAGAAAATCTGCTTCTAGTGCATCATTTGTTCCTCAGCCATCTTACCGGTAGTTCATCAACACTTTCATAATCAGTTTATCGATCATCTCTCGTGAGTTGTTCCTCGTCATTATGCCGGTCTGGTAAAAATCACATGTTCCTGCTTACGAATCTACACTGTACATATTTTTTTTTAATTTGCAGTTCTAAAATATAATGTTATCTTGTTTGGATGAAAAATGCAATAGAGTTGAATTGGTTTGAATATTGAATTGCTTGGTGTTTTTTTCGTCTGTGGTCCGATAAAATGTGTGCATCAGTTTAGGTGGGAAGATGACTGAAGTTTTTTTCTTTACACACGGCAGAATAAAGTGCGATAGATTGGCTGGTGTATCATTTGATCCGATCCCAACAAACCCATTAACTATTTATGAATTCGGCAGAGAATCGAGCTTAAAAGTGGGGCTTAGGTTGTAAGTGTGAACCTATCTAGTCAAATTTCATTACACGTGAATGTTTTCCAATTTGAAGCTGTTCTGATCATTCGGGAACCAGAAATGCCCTAACGTCAAATTCAAATTTTGACGGAACTCTCTGAATGGTTTAAGATTGGTTTTGTCGCCTGACGAAATTGGAAACCACAGATTTTTTTTTCCACACAAACGGGTATTCCACGTAAAATAATTTGCTTCCGTCATGAAACAAAAAGATAGAAAGACAAACATAAATGTTCTTTGTTTTTGTTTAAGTGTTTTAGCTTAAGGATCCCGGCCCCACTTCACTGCCGTTTTTCTTATATACAGTAACCTCCCCTAACTTCCGTTTGGATATTTGGGCTCTTACACTCCCGCAATAGGGAACCGTCGGCACTTTCCGTAAACGAGAAAATAATTTTACGGAAAGTGCCGACGGTACCCGATTGACACTTCCGAGTCCAGTAAGATCATTCGGTTCCAGCGATCATGCCGGAAAAACTTATTTTTTTTTGGCAGAGAATTGAAATGTATCTTCTTTACCTTTATGATGAAAACCTTCTGCTTACGAACATATTCTCCAAGGTGCGATGCAGCTACATCGAGCAATATGTTTGTAAGAAGCTGTGTTTCAAAACATAATAAATAATATGGTAAACATTACTGCGATGATGATGATTACAGCGATGAGAACGAAAGTGACTCTCACCTATAGTTTCAAGTTTCATTTTTTCAATACAGTATATAGGCTAAATGTGTACATAGCACACAAAACATATTTCAATTTTCAAGATGACGGAGGACAATTCCATATTAGCATTTATCACACATAAATGAATACATATTCAGAAATAATACTGAACGAGGATTTTTCTTTTGGCGGTATATAGCATACCGTAAATGATTACCCAATCTACGTAATGTACACATCCCTAGTACTAAAATACTTCGAGAAATCATATAGGAACACGCATCAAATGACTCGGAATTTGGTAGCAGGTTTTTTTTTGAATGTTTAATTGAATGTTTAAGACGTTTTTCAGATTTACAGATGACTGTTTTGAAATTTGANCCCCCCCCCCCCCCCCCCCCCGATAAAGACCTTGAGTAATTTCCAAAAAATGCTGAAGAATACACATCCTAATACCAAAGGTACCATCGTACGTGTGAAGTGGATAAAACGTACTTTCAATGAAATTATCTGCCATCAACGTTCATAAAATAGGACAAAGTACAAGCGATAAACATACCTTTATAATTTACTGTGACAACTGCTCGACATACATTAATAGAGAAAAATAATATTGAGGTTGGTTTTCCTCAACGTCTAGCGTCACATTGTTTATTACAACAGAAAGGTAGTAAGCGATAGTTATACATCTGACGCACTTCCTGTTTCCTAAGATCTTCCTGTTAGCATACCCAGGTGATCTACTAATAGTCATTATCCTCTTAGCGCTGTTGTATCACAGACAGGGAAAACTGTTTATTGTAGTCTAAAAAACCACATTGGAGGAAAGTAGAATAGGTTTGAGGATAGTCCGACGAGGGAGCGGCTTGCCATAATTTACGGCCCATTCTCGTGGCTTGTTTTTCACATTTTTCTCTCGCATCTCCTTTACAAGCTGTCGGAGACCACGTTCCCGATCCTCCACGGAAACACGCGGTGTTTTGTGTTTGTTTACAACTTCATGTTCTTGTTCAGGCGTTATACGGGTCTGTTTAGCTCGCGTAGGCGGACGTAGTCCCTGGCTGTATCCCAACATTTCTTTATAGTTCGGGAGTGACGAGTAGGACCGTGACGTCATCTGATAGCCAATACTTGTGTACGTTTTTGGCAAAAAACATGGAAAATTCTTACACCTTCTCTTGGATATTCCAAATCTACACTCATCGCATTTTAATACAGGGATAACAAACTCGTCCGATTCTGAACGAGCCACTGGACTCATTGGCAAATCACTTTCCGGATCTTGATTTCGAATTGGTGGTAACTTCCGGTCGACTTTGATCAATGTCAGTTCTTCCTCTATGGCGCGTTTTTCCTTGACCATCTGCCTTTCCCTTTTAGCGAAGCTTGTTTTCATAGTATTGAGCTGACATTCCAGGTTGGTTCTAGCAACCTTGTTGATTTGCTTGAGTTTGTTAACAGCTGTGTGCTTCCGTTTCGTAAGGTTATACTTCCGGTCCATTTCTTCCCAAATTTTGTCCTTTGAAATTTGCTTTCCCTTCGAACGGAATGGCAGACTACAACAAAAAAGGAGAACACGAATGACCAAGTTTCTATCGCTAAATACTAAAACGACAACTTTAACTTAAACATATGATCGTACCTAAAACTCAACATCTTACGACTTTGCCTTTGGCGGTTTCCCCAATCCCCTACCCAACTATTTAGCAATACTCGCTCTTCGTATGAATCTTTGTTTACGTCATTAAAGATAAACGGCTGACGTTTCATGCTGTGTCACAATTTCGCGCCGAAAACGAAATGGCGGTACTTACCTTTTACCATCTGAAATGGAGTCTGTAGAAGATCGCCGGGAGGGGATAATTACATCCATATTAAGGGGTGATATCGGTTCGTGAGAAAAACGTGTGTCTGGATATTGGTTCCTGAGAGAGGAGTGTGTCTAGATGGTTGTCGGTCTCCGAATGTCTGATATGGACGAGTATATCGAATAGGTAGGTCTGCTTATCGACTTGGCGTGACATTACATTGTGTGCAAACAAAACACCCAACAAGTTTTAATTAAACAAGTATCTACTATGAAAAAAACCGTTAGGCGACTCTTTGACCCTTATACATTGTGTGAAATCAACTGCTCTTTGACGCGCGAGAAACCGTATAAAGCTCGACATTCAGACTGTCTATATAACTGGTATTTACACACATGAGACTCGTCATTTACGATTTTCTCTGTGTATTGAGTTCAATGTTATATTAGTTCGTTATCTCAGTTCCTCTTTAGTTTGTAGTACTAGGTTGACTGACTAATCACAATGTCGACGCTTATTACACCCCGACAATTACACCATTGTGTAGCATAATAGGCAATAAACATCAAATTACTCCAAATATAACACCCCAAATATATACCTATAGTACAATGTATGTGGCAGTGCTAGGGTGGTATAGCTGTAACCGACTTTTTCATCTCACTGTCTTACTTCAATATATAATGTGTGTGACTTTAAACAACATTCTTAACAACTTTGTTATTCCTTATACAATCTTTTTATCCAAACTTAAATTTATAACTTTGTATTAAAAAAATCTATGGTTTTATGTTTACAGTTTTAATTAATTTTAACGTTGGGTACCTATGATCATGTCTGGAAATTGGCTGTCCTTTTATGAATGATACATATACTTAACAAAGCTGAATTTTAAATAAATTCAATTACAATGTATCTATGAAATTAAAATATTGTAATAATTTATTACATTGAATTTTAATGGTATTTTAAGTAGGTAAATCATAATTATCATTTTTTGAAATGATAATTATGATTTACCTATACTTAAAATACCATTATAAATTATTACAATACGGGCAATATCGACAGTTATTCCAACTGACATCACTAGTTTTCCGGCTTTATCTGCCTACATCCAAGTCTTAAACTAGTTAAATCAAATGTTCAGTCCGGGTCCGCTTCGAATTTGAAATTTGTTTTGAACGTCTACTGGAATTAGAAGCATGACCGGGGATAGGTCTATCATGCTGGAATAAGTAGCGAGCGCGTTTGTTTACCTGTAATGTGCAATGAGGCAACATGGACCAGATGATTATCGTGAAAGGCTGGTAATTGCCTTTAAAATCTTAACAAACCTTTTTGACACGAGTGCTATATATATCTCTTTCCTTTTACAAAATATATATCGGCAAGTACCTTATATGCCCCCGCCCCCCAAACACACACACGCACTCGAGTGATTCTAAACATGATTTTAAATAGAAATATGGTAGATCATTATATGTTTTATATAAATTAAACGGTAATATCAATTATATACAAGTATTTGTTTATTAAATAAGAATTACGACATTGTGATGATATATATTTTTATGTAAGAAATACGGCATTTAACGTTGATAAGGATAATTCGACATCGTCACGCAAAACCTCTACCCAGGCTTACTTTTACCTCTATTGATCTAAACAGATGACAGCCTTCATTAAAATAAATGTTTTTCGCTTCTTTCTTAAAGATTGCGGTTTGGGAGGTAATGGTGACCCCGTGTCGGCAAATAATTTAAAGAAAGCCAGTTATAAGCTGGAATGCGCTGTTTACTGTTGACTTTTTGAATAGAACAAAATTACGTCCTCTTATCCACTTCATGGCCAAACATTCATCAGGCAAAGATTTAGTTGATAAATGAAGAAAATAATCACGCGATATCAACATTAAATTAAAAAAGAAATCAGGAGTTCTGCCTCGAGACTCACTATTACACATCAGTATAGCTAACTATATACACGTGCACGATATTATAGATTATATGCAATATATCTAAAGTATAAAACAAAATAAAGTATAAAGTTTTAGTATAACTGGCTATATACATTATAAGTATAGCTAAATATATACATGCTGTATAAGTACAGCTGGCTATATACCAGCTAATAATTTAATCTTGCTTGTAACAAGCATTTTCTTTGGATTAAAAATTTATGTTATCAGTCCATAACTTAAAAAATGACGTCGCCGTTTGTAACGTTGGTTTTGATTGGCTGATACTGCAGCGCAATAATTTCTTAAGAGAAAAGAATCCCTCAATAAAAGTGGATTTCCAAAGGGATTGTGTATAGTAGATTAAATTATAAGGATTAAGTTGAATATAATTTTCATGTTATGGAGCTATAACACAAAAAACCGGAGTGTTCTCTCATCATAAACCGTTTCGCGGTTTATTAAGAGTACACTCAGGTTTTTTGTGTTATATCTCCATAACATGAAAAATATATTCAACTTAATCCTTAATTATAAATTATATATCATTATATAAAGTTTAGGATTACTGGCTATATACATTATAAGTATAGCTAGTTATATATACATATGTAGTATAAGTACAGCTGGCTATATGCAAACTATTATAAATAATATACTCACTATATAAAGTTAATATTACTGGCTATATACATTATAAATATAGCTATAGTTATATATACATGTAGTATAAGTATAGCTGGCTATATACAAACTATTATAAATGATATACTCACTATATAAAGTTACTAATACTGGCTATATACATTATAAGTATAGCTAGTTATATATACATATGTAGTATAGGTCAAAGAAGTAATATAGACGGTAAAATCCCATATAACACTGGATCCTAATGGAGGTATGTCCGTAGGATACGAATCACTTAAGATATTATATGGGGCAAAGAAGTAATTCCAACAGTGTGGACAAGTTTAAGTTGTAAATATATTGGAGCGGTCCGCTCCTTTTTCAAGACACAGTGAAACAGAACAGTTACATGTACATACACGTCATATTACAAGTAGATAGATACATATTACATATGTAGTATAAGTATAGCTGTCTATATACAAACTATTATAAATAATAATCTCACTAAGGTTTTAGTATTACGGGCTATATACCTTTCACGCCATATACTTATATGGCAGCTAGTTATTTAGTATAAGTATAGCTCACTTTATATGGCATAAGCATAGCTGGCTATATAACGATATTGTAGATTATAAACTCGTTATTTGAAGTATAAATATAGCTGACTATATACAGTTAATATATAGTAATGAGTATAAAGCTAGCTATATATAGTAAAAGTAAATGTAAAGCTAGCAATATATAGTAAAAGTAAATGTATAGCTTGCTATATATACTATAAGTTAATGTATAGCTTGCTATATATAGTGTAATTAAATGCATAGCTAACTATATATAGTATAAGTAAATGCATAGATAGCTATATATAGTATAAGTAAATGCATAGCTAGCTATATATAGTACAAGTTAATGTATATCTAGCTATATATATAGTATAAGTAAATGTATAGCTAGCTATATATAGTATAAGTAAATGTAAAGCTAGCTATATATAGTACAAGTTAATGTATATCTAGCTATATATAGTATAAGTAAATGCATAGCTAGCTATATATAGTATAAGTTAATGTATAGCTAGCTATATATAGTATAAGTAAATGTAAAGCTAGCTATATATAGTACAAGTTTATGTATAGCTAGCTATATATATAGTATAAGTAAATGTAAAGCTAGCTATATATAGTATAAGTAAATGTATAGCTAGCTATATATAGTATAAGTAAATGTATAGCTAGCTATATATAGTATTAGTAAATCTAGAGAGAGAGAGATAAATAGTCCCCCTTTTTATCATGCATAGATCACGGTGACAGCTCAAAACGAATTACAAAACTGCTCAGCTGTAACTGACGACATCAAGTTGAACTTATTGATTTTAACAGAGATCATCGTTATCAATATTAGTATTTTAGCAATATTACTTACGTATTTTAATTTCAAAAGTCCAAGATCGACATAAATCCCCGTCCCCCGGGGTAATATTTTCCCGTCTCTCGAGCCGAATTTTCACTCCCTAAACCAGCCTATATACTGGGAGGGGATGCGAGGACTCGTTAGAACAATTGTTTAACCGTTTAAAGAACCGCACACGTATTAAGTCGTTTTACATATGCATCGAGTATGTATACAAATTAATGATGTTTATTGTGAAGGTGTTTGTATATATATATATATATATATATATACACACCTCGGTTTGGCAGTAATAGACACCAGCTATCTATAAACAGACCTACCCCTGTACAAACAATACAACGAGATGTTGATATAATACACATTTTCTAATCGGTAAGCAGGTGGGAATGTCCCTATTGTGCTCAACCCAAACTGTGAAGATATAACAAAGGTATGAAGTACTCGTAGTCCATAAATTTTAGGTGATAAAAACGACTATCGGCCGTAATTTACATACATGTCAGCTATTGAGGAAACTCACCGGGTAGAACAAGAAATATAGGTCCGTCTCATTGTGTTATCAACGGAAGTAACGATAATGTCATAAAACAGTGTTTGATATGATACAATGTATTCTCCGATATGTGTCATATCGAAAACAATGATTCATGATTATTTCAAGCCCTCCCTGTGTTAAAATTTACTAAATTCTTGATCTATGATTATGATTGTTTATTGCGATCAATGCCAATTCTGAAGTGTTGAAATTCTTCTGAAAGACTGGGCTGGGAACATGTTTATTTTAGTGTGTTAGCAAACTTCCCCCTTATCCAATATTAATATCAGATTTACAAACATAGGCATAGCCCCAAGCAGAATATAATATAGTGTTTTGAAAAGAGAAAAATAAAATAAAAAGCAACAACACATCAACAATCCGAAAACACTCTTAAATCTGAGTTATAAGATATTATATGAAAATGGATAGGAAATTCCGGATATACTGGGATATGTCTCGTAATAACCATTGTCGCTGTCAGACGGTCAGACAGCTCCGGCTGAGTACCAATTTAGATTTGCGTATATCATATGAACCCAAATGAATCAGCCGAGGTTAGCCGAATGGAGAAAAAAATCCCGATTGTTCCCGATGAAAATGTAACAGGAAAGAGTGGTGTGCTTCCACCGGGGATCAGAACCTGCGATCCCGGACTTCCTAGTCGGACGCTCTACCACTGAACTTT